TCAACTAGATTCTGTAAAAAAGAAAAAATTCTGCGCTTCTAGATGCAGCTGAAAAGCCAAGACTGACTCAGCTGCAACCAGCAGTCACATGACAAAAATTCAGGGACTTTTTTTTGTTAAACTAGGCTGAACTGCAGGCAGTGTTTACACAGAGCAAGAGGAAACGAGTGTAGAAACAAATTAAATATGTGGTTAATAAAATATCGAGGTGCAGGACCGACCAAAGCGTGCACGAAATTGTGATGAATCAACTATGAAAGTGACGTCTGTCCTCAACATTTCACATCAGCTTCCGTAAACGCTGTGAATAGTTTATATCAAGCACGGAGAGGTTTGGTTCCACATTTCTAAACTGCTGCGACTATCCTCACCTCTCAAATCATCGGTCCCAGGAGTCGGAACCGAGCATTGAGAAGCAGCGATCACTTCTTCGCGCCACCGAAACTTTAAATCTGCTTCAACTAAAACTCGATTATCAAAACTTTTCAGATTAATGCGCCTCTTTGTGTTTAACGTAAAGCACTTCCCTTGTTGGTGAAAGACGCTCCACAGAACAAACTCGTCTTGCCCTAATATATAAAACGCCAATACCCTCACACAGGCCGGTCTAATCAATTCTCCCCTTACACTGAACAAACATCATCATACATCCTTGAGGCGACAAACCATCCATTATTCCTGCCATCCTCAGGGCCAAGTCTGCGCTTGGAAACCTGGCAGAGAGGGCGGCGAGGGAGCCTGCCCGTCTATTTGCGTCCCTCTCTTAAGCTCGGGCACCATCTGAAACTCACACTTGAAACCGCAGACAATGTGGGATCCCTCCACCGAGGACAGACACTGGGTCTCATTAGGCCGCGCGCCAACCAATCACCGGAGGAATTCGGAGAGCAGCTAATGACGGAACTCTCAGTAATATGGGGCCATACAGTACATTGCACAGGCTTCTCATGTTCTCCCGGTCATCACTTAGCAATTTTCCAATGTATGCGCTCATGTCGGCATTGGCACCAAATAGGCAGGGTGGAATTTGGAAAAAAAACTTTTAGCAGCACATCCTTTTAGGTTCATATGTGATAATAATAGTCTTAATTACACGTGCAAGCTGAGTGTACATATGAGTCTCCACCACAATTCTGCATCTTTTCAACAACAACCCAACAACCAGCCAGTCAAACCTGATGTTCGATGTTTCAATCGCGTCCTGACCTGGAGTGATAATGAACAGTCTCGGTGTTTATGCTGCATTCTCGCTGCTTTACTTTACTGCACGAATTAACACTTTCTCTTTAACGGTAACAGTGGAGCAAAATTTATCGCTCGGTTAAGTGTTGAGAGGCTTCGTGTTCTCGCTGTCTAAAAATATTTACGCTCTTAGTATGAAGTCTATGTAATTCCAATAATAATTCCCCGGCTGACCGATGTGCTGCGTGACAGCTATTCTCAAGGACGACTTCAAATGAAGCGATTACTTGCTGGACACGGAGGGCAGGCATCAGGAAGGAGCCGGGAGGTTTGTGTTTCCATCGATTCTGAAGCAAACTTAAACTCTAGTAATGCAAGTTGAATAGTTTAAATCAGCCAGGATAGGTGCACTGCTGGGTTTTCTGTTATATTCCCCTCTTTATGCCACACTTGTGAGCTCCCTGCAGAAGCTAAATGTGGTCATGGCCTCTTCTGCAATATGGATTTCATTTTATGTTTTCCCCATGAACCTAGTGAGGATTAAGCGGTGTATAGATAATGGATGGATGGATTATTGCCAGAGTGAAGTTCATAAGTCATCATCTTTGATTCTTCTTGTTGGTAATGAGCCGGTATTCCTCACATTTTTTGTCTTAATATGGCACAAAAAAATAAATCTAGTGTTGTATTTACCCGAAAAGCTCTTGCATGTTTATTGTAAGGGGCAAACTAAATTAGGCTGCTGCATAAAATACGTACACAATCATCACAGACAGAAAAGTAACCTCTGACCTTTATGACATTTAGTCGTCAAAGACAGAGGATGCTGTCGTATCAACCAGATGTCAAAATGTACAAAACCCATCAGCCCCTTTACAACAAGAGTAAAGCTGCTAACCGAGGAACAAACATCCCGTCTAGACGGCGGCGTATAAGTGAATACCGTACTTTAATAAATCACTTCCGCGGCGACATAAATATACATGGCGCACATGAAGACTTCAGTGTCGGTGTCATGTCAACTGTAAAGCCGTTACAGCTTTTACCCCACGCTGGCAGCTCAATGATACGAGAAGCTCCCTCGGTTGTTACGATAACTCATATATATATATTTAGAGCTGCGCTGTCATGTACTCATCACAACACTGACTCGAAATCCCTGTGAAGCTCTGGAGCACAAGCTGCCACTGGATGTCAGCAGAGTTCCACAGAGCTGCAGCGAGGCAGAGGAGGAACACGACCACGAGGGGTTAGTTCAGCCAAATGGAAAGCTGCTGCTGCACAAAACTAAAGCCAAATCAGAAAGGAGAAATGTTGCACATGTGTGTGGTATATCTGCACATAAGGCATTTAAATGTAAGATAATTTAGTGATTTGTTGCACCGGATCACTTTTCTTTTTTAATGCTGAAGATTGGAAAACGGCACCAAAGTTACCCAGAGAGCACGTTCTATTGTTCCAAGTGCAATTTCTGGAGTGTGGTAGTATTTCCTGATCTACACAGGTCCTAATGCTCACACCCACTTTGTTCAGACTGCTGAACGCAGCAGAGTGGCAGTCAGACAGCCTTCTCCACAGAGGGCCGGTCTTGCAGTGATCAGCAAATACACAGACGGCTCTAATCCTACTACCATGCAGCCTGTCCATGGTCAGTTTGCCTTTTTTTTTTTTTTCCTGCAGGCAATTGGCTTTAAAGAAAATGGCTGTAAAGAATTTGTTGCACAGAAAGCACTATGCACAAGTTTGCCAGAAGCAGGTGCAGTCCTTCCCAGCGGACATGCGTTTCTTTTAGTTCCCCCTTTTTAAAATAATAAATAAAAATCCAGCCTGTAATCACTCATGTTTTTTTTAGAAGCAGTCAGGTTTTTCTTTAAACCCAAAATGAAAGACAGGTGCTTAAAATGAAGGGAAAATGTGACAAGTGTGAGCAAAAAGGCCAAGTAAAGCTGTACTGGCAACACTGAAAGGCAACACTAAAGAAAAGCAGTTAATAGAAATGAGGATACTGTGACTATAAACACTGGTTCAAGGCCTCGATGTTGAATTTTACGCACGCAATATGTTACTTGGAGAACGTTTTCCGGCTGCAATCCACGTGTGTCACAGACGTGAAATCCGGTTCCACGCACCTGATTTGTGAAAAAGTAGGCGTGTTGCCGGAGACAAACCTAAACACCGTGCGGCTGACACAAACAAAGCGCCCGTCGGACCATCCAGGCCAACTTTTCAAACGCCCACTTGAACTGTCAGCGGTCACACGAGGGCTGAAGCGCAAAACTCATCCATTCACATTTTGCTTAATTTACACTTACTAGTCATTTTTTTATTTATTTTTAGTGATTTTTACACCAGATAACTTCTCGTCCACATCCGTGCCGCGTCCCTAAAAAGAGCAACTTAAGGCTATAATGACAAAAATCCTGCTCGCTCACAGCGTCGTTAAATCTCTGAGACAAGGATGCGTGGTTGGCAGAAGAGTTGGACACACGTCGAGCTGGCTGAGGCTTCAAACTACTAAACTTTTCAGTGTGAAGGTAAGAAAAAACTACCTGGAAGTGTCAGCGACAACTGCTGGGAAATCAACCCTTTTAAAGACCTCTTCAGATGTGCTGCCAATGGAGCACGAGCGCCTCATTTATTACGCCGAACTCCGCAGAAAAATCTCCAAAGTCTGCGTTGGTTTGCCTTTACAGAAATGTAGAAACTTCTAAAAAGTTAGTGAGACTCTTTTTCACAAACAACAGGACCTACTCCGCTATTCGGCATAGCACCTGCACGACAACCAGGTCTTACTTGAACATAAATTACCCTGGAGGTATAGTTCCCAGGCTGCAGCTCAATCACTCTTATCAGGAATGCAGCTTGGTATGTGGCAATGTGAGCCAGATGAAAAAAGGTGGAAGAAGTACTGGAAAGCCTTGTATCCTATGGACTGTCAATATGCCGAATGAACACGTGGCTGCACCTGATTAAGTAAAACACAGTAGGTCATTTGTCAGACATACGTGCTTGTGCCACTAAGAGATATTTCAGCAAATTGCCTGATTTTAAATGCAGTTTGGAGCGGTGATGGGAAAAGTAGAACTTCAAGTTAATGAACTCCTATAAAAGGATTTTAAAAAAGTCTGCTGCTGGCTCGCCTCAAGTCAAGCATACAGCTGTCTGCATCATGTGTGTAAATCACAGGGAGTGTTGCATCATGTGTGAGATATTGCCACATCCACAGACAAAACCCACACAACTCTGTAATTACAGTCAGACCGGTTGTGAAGTGTTGGTTTCAGACCTTCGTTATTCAGAATCAAGAATTTCTGGAACTTTTGAGCACAAGAAATATTGCATTCTATACAGCAACGCAGAATACACAAGCATGCCGGTACTTTACATGTGTGTGATGTGTCTTCTGCAAAAGAGAAAAAATGTGTAACGTCGGCCAGAGGTTCTGGGATGCCCACCGGCTGGAGGTCATCGTAGGTCACACCAACCTTTATATTCACATATTTATCTCTCGCTCACACATGCACACGCAGGCACGTTCTCTCATTCACACTCAGCAGATGAACAGATTTGTCAGTCTCAGCATTCACCGCACAATTCGCAGTGACCTATGCGGTTTCAGCGCGAAGCCCCAGAGGCTCGCCGGTTGCCATCCCTCCTAAACTCAAAATCTACAACACATCTATCTCAAAGTTTTTCTTTTGGTCTCTCCAAACTTGCTTTTATAAAAAGAGAATACATTATTCTTGGGTGAGATTTTACTTCTCATCTGCCTGCTTTCTTTTAACTCCCAGGCTCAGACAGCCCACCTGGTCTTGGAGGATGGCACCAGGATGAAAGGGTTTTCCTTCGGGCACGGTGCCTCTGTAGCTGGGGAGCTGGTCTTCAATACTGGCCTGGTGGGGTAAGTATGTGTCTCACTGCACCAAGTTACAACTCCATAACTTTACACAAAATTACACGGCTGAACTAATGATTTTAGGAAACGCTTTTTATTTTCACATTTGACATAAAACTTGCTTTAAGCCCGACAGCCTCACATCCTCAGTGTGTTTATCTAGTTATAAAAGCTTTTCCCAAGATCAAGGTTCGCTGCATTTTGCCTGTTCATAGAGGACTTAAGGTTGACGGCACGACAACAATGCACTTCAGCATCCCATCATTACAATATTCTGGCCTGCTTTAGGTACCCCGAGGCCCTGACTGACCCCAGCTACAGGGGTCAGATCCTGACCCTGACTTACCCGATTGTTGGGAACTATGGGGTTCCCAACACCCAGGAGCTGGATGAGCTGGGCCTGAGAAAACACGTGGAGTCGGAGCGCATCCAGGTAGGAAACTCAGCCGTGGCAAAGGCCTCCATCATGCATTCTGTTTTTTAATTATTTATTTTTTTTACAAATACTTGTTTTGATGTGTTGTCTTTATTTTCCCTTGTCAATGCACTGACCCAAGTTATTAGAAAGTAATATAATTAGTCCATCAGCAGAAATTTGATGGACAGATACTTCAGTAATTAAGTCATCTTACTTGACAAACTTGACTGGTGTGTTTTTCAGGAGTGAATATATGTTTGTTTGTTTTCTTAGTTTTTTATGATTTGTTTTTGGATTATTGGTTGCACAAAACAACGTCTAAGTTTGTCATTGTGTGCTCTTACAATCTACTGTATAGTGGACATTTAAAAAAAAAAAAAAAAAAATCTTTTGTGACATTTTCTAGATTAAAAAAAAGTGTTGAATTTATAATCCTAAAGATGTTCCTGAAGCCAGAGTCCAGCATCGATACCATATATGGTCAGCATTTCCTCTGCAATCTGTCAATTGTCAATTTACACATAGCTGGTTATTTACAAAAACAGATCTACATTTTCTGAAATAACAGCGTTCACACCAGATTGTTTTCAAAAAAATCTTTGTTTACACAAACATGTCGTTAAGAGCTGCTATGAGCTGTGAAACCAGTAGGGGGCAGTGTAACGAGACGCATAAAGCCATGCTAGCCAATCAGAATCCTGGAAAAAACACAAGGACGAATGGCACGAATCACTTGCTGTTACTTCAATGATAATGGCTTTAGGGTCATTTGTTTGGACCGACAGAGAAGTGGAGCTACTCCTACATGTGGTGTTGGAGGACGAAACAAGTGAAATACTTAAAAATATTGACTTTCTATAGCAGTAGCCAAACTGTAAACATGGTCGCACACATATGACGCTGTGACGTCAAACTCCGTCTCCTCGTTTTTCCAAATCTCCACTTTTGGCCGGAGTTTTCAGATGTGATAGTTTTTGGCGACTTGTAGCTTCGTTTGCGTGTAAACCAAAGACCCAAACACATTGAAATATCACCGTTTGTGCTATGTTTAAACCGGGCCTTACCCTCAGTGTTAAGCTTTCTATAGTAGTTTCTATAAGCAGTGGTGGGGTCTGCCATTCTTATGCTAAATTCAGAATATCTAAGCTGTGAGTCAATCCCAGAAAACGGTGCATCCACGTACTCTAGCACCAAATAGAGCTGTATTAAGTTTCTGTACAGGAAAACTGATCACCCCGCTGCTGCTGCTTCACATTAAACGCTTTCAGCAGGAGACGCACAGGAAATGTTGTTCCTCCTGTTAACACAGACTGTGGTCATTCATCTAAAATGTAACGACCAAAACTACATTTTTCCCTCAGCTAATTATTTTTAATTAGCCGGAGTTGAGGGGATACAGCATGAAATCAGATCGCAGTTTGTTATTAACGGACTTCTTTAATAAAGCAGCACGAGCTCGTTGCCTCGGTAAACAGATGCACCGGTTGCTTTGGATTCCTGATGAAGTAGCTGCTCGACGAGTGCCCGTCTTCCTGCTTTTGCTGTTACTACGGTAACCACGGTTGTCAGAAAAAAACCCACCAGAACTCAAATCTTTAGGAATATTCTAATCGATAACCCCAAAAGGTGATTGTCAGATTACATTCTAATCAAAATAATTATTTTCATTTTCTCTGTAATGAAAGAAAACAGTTTATAATGCAGCCCGCATTTGTTATTTGGTGTTGACATGAATAAAAAATCTGATTTGTCTGTGTTTAGTTTTACATGCTCGCTATATCCTCGCATGCAGACACACGTTTTAGTATTTCTGGCAGCTCTCGATGATGCCGTACACATGCAGAACGCAGTCAAGTGCTTTGTGGTTTCACCTTTTTTAGAATATTGTGCTTTTGTGTCTCCAGGTGTCCGGTCTTCTGGTTCAAGACTACAGCCACGACTACAGCCACTGGAATTCTGTCAAGTCTCTGGGTCAATGGCTACAAGAAGAGAAGGTGAGGTTTTAAGTTAACCAACACCTGGTGGAGTGTCGGCGAGGTGAACGAGGCTCTTCTGTAAATGTACGTTTCCTTTAAAGGTTCCCGCGCTGTTCGGTATCGACACCAGAATGCTGACCAAGGTCATCAGAGACAAGGTACTGAGAATACAGGAGTCTGATCTGCTGCATCTGCCATGAATCGAATCTTCTGACCACCTGCTGGTACATCTCGGTTTCTTCCTCAGGGCACAGTTTTAGGAAAGATAGAATTTGATGGGCACCCTGTGGAGATATCTGACCCCAACCAGAAAAACCTGGTAGCAGAGGTTTCAACCAAGGTAACAGCTGCTCGTCATTTATATTTAACATCACATCAGGGGAAACTCAAAAAAAAAAGTTTCCACAAATGACATCAACGAGCGCTAAACTCTCCTCGCCGTTTCCCTCCGCCCGCCAGGAAATCCGAGTTTTTGGAAAAGGCAACCCCATCAAAGTGGTGGCTGTGGATTGTGGCATTAAACACAACATCATCCGGCTGCTGGTTAAGGTAAGACGGGATGCGGAGGGAGCAGCGAAACATCCTCGCTGTCGAGCGTCCTGTTTAATTTACACGCTTGGAAATGTTGTTTTCGTGACGGAGCCCCAGATGACCTCCTGTGCACAAATATAGAAAAAAGAAGTCAACACTCTGTTACATGTTTTCTGACCTAGAAATCTGGAGATAGTAATGTTAGGTCTAACGAGCTTGAAAAAAAAAAGACAGTTTCTGTCATCAAGCTATGAGAGAAAGTGTGTTTCTGTTGTGTTTATGCTGCAAGTTAATGATTTGCTGGCGTGATGTTGATATTGGCTTGTAATTAGTTGTAAGTGAAGAAAAGAAGCCGACAGACTAACAATGCAACATCTGTTTATTTGCTTTTAATTGGTTTTATTGGTCAGTAAGATATTGTCAAATATTATATGATATTAATATTAAGTAAATATTGTTTGTAATGAATTTCTTTCCTTGGTCCATGAAATATGATGTAAATAGTCATAAGAGATTGTTTCTAGCACAAACATGGGCACCTGGTTTATTATTTTTTCCTCTTGTTGTTTCTAGTTTTGTCAATGTTTTAGTATTTTGCATAGTTCAAACCTTCGCAACACTTTGCTATATTTAGTGAATGTATGGAGGTTTGGTTACCGCACTGGCGTCTTCTACACTGACTTCTACGCTTTGTTTACAACCACAGGAATTGAGTTTAATGTCATCTTATGCTATTCTGAGTGACTTCTAAATGATAAAACTGTTGCTAAGCGATACCACAGAATAACCGTGCATGTCTGTGGGTGCAGCGAGGTGCAGAAGTCCACCTGGTGCCGTGGGACCAGGAGCTGCAGAGTCTAGACTACGACGGCCTGTTCATATCCAACGGACCAGGAGATCCGTCTCTGGCCCAGAAGCTGATCCACAATGTGCGCAAGGTAGGATGTGGTGCTGTTTGGATTTTATGGGCTTCAGAAGAATTTAAGTTTTACACTGTGTTTGTGAAACGGGAGAGATTTGACCACAAAGAGTAGTGATTTATGGGGACATAGGAGGTACTTAAAGGGAACTTGGGGTAGCATTTATAAGAAAGGCCCTGAAAGAGGTTCTGCAGGGGCGGTTCTTACAGTTAGAACACGCACAAAGGTTTGGGCTGCCATAAGACATAGATGTTGGTCAGCATGTCCTCAGTTTGGAAAAGCAGACAGAATATCAGCGTCAACAATGAGCTGCTGTGGATGCTGGCAGTTAGTAGAAGTTTATATAACATTTTGAATATTTTCACACTTTACCTTGTTGTCAAAACGCCTTTTCTGATGTGGAGCTGCAGCAGTTCTATCACTCTCCTCAAAGCCACCAGACTCTGTTGACAAAAACAGTAATTTTTCCTTCACAGAACACAAAACTCTCTGGTCTACAGCTGTGTGACTTTTGGTGTTTTAATACAATAATTTTGCTCTGAACTTGCAAATTAAGACACTAAAATCTTTCAGTAACACAAACCGACTGACTGATCAAGGCGGCGGCAGACCAGTAAATCCTGTGTTCTGCGAGCTAAAATTACTGTTTTTGTCAACAGAGTCTGGTGGCTTTGAGAAGCGCGTAGATCGATGAAACAGCTTGAGCTCTTTGTCGTTCTTTGGCTGTCTGACGACAAAGTAAAGTGGTGAAAGTATTCTAAATATAGCAGACACTTGGAAATTATATAGATTTTTTTAGGTGACCAAAGACATTTAGCTGCTGTTCCTGTCCGCAGAAGTTCATTGTTCAACGTCCGTAACAGGACTTGTCATACAATCCCACTTCATGTTTCATCAAGTTCTATTTTTTTCCTTTTTTTGCAGTAGGAATACTCTTTATCTATATCCTGAACTCTATCATCGTTAATTGTATTTGTTCTGTGAAGGTGCTGGAGAGTGACCATCCCCAGCCTGTGTTTGGGATCTGTATGGGCAACCAGATCACCGCCCTGGCTGCAGGAGCGAAGTCGTACAAACTACCCATGGGGAACAGGTGAGCTCTTTAATACCGCTGCATGTTTACTGCTTGTGACACCCCCCCAAAAAAAAAAATCAAGAAAGCCCCCTAAACAAAAAGAAATAAGTGAGACAAAAAGAGCTCTATTAAGACATGTTATTTACACAACTTACAGGGAATTTACGATCACATTTTGTGCTGAAAAGGATAAAACCTTTACATTATTGCACAGGAAACATTTTAGTTCTGTTTGCAGTCACCGTTCCAGCAAAATGGAAATACTTTAATCTTCTTCACCTTCTTGGTAGCTACAAATAAACCAAATCAACCATTTTTCAAACTACTTTAAACACTAAAATGTTTCCTAAAATGCCCTCAAAAAAGACTAGTGTCAGAAAAATGCAGAAAAAATTTTATATTCTATGTATAATGCGTCGCATGGACTTTAAATCAACATAAAAACTGCCTTCTAACACCTGCTACTGTTTTACTCGCGCAACATTTAGCAATTAAGAACAAAAAGCAGATTGTTTGCCTTGATTTCTTTACGACGAAGGCAGTGTTTAAAAAACAAAAACTGCAGAACTCCTAAAGTAACGTCATAAAGGTTTGAACTTTCCGTGTACACGAACACAGTTGGTTTCAGATGATACTCTGAATTGTAAAGTTTAATTAGTTGTTTTTTTTTTTGGTAATTTTAAAATGCCACCTCTTCTAATGAACTAAAACAAAAATAAACAAATATTCTGTGTTTCGCGTGTCTGTGATTTCCCCAGAGGGCAGAACCAGCCGGTGCTGAACGTAATGACAGGCCAGGCCTTCATTACAGCACAGAACCACGGCTACGGCATAGACAGCGAGTCCCTGCCCCCGGGGTGGAGCCCGCTATTCATCAACGCCAACGATGGCACCAATGAGGTTGGTTTCATTGACGGTGAAGTCTTTTTCTACGACAACGTGGCATTTTTATATTTTCCTTCTATGGGTTTGTCTCACAAAACAACTGCATTCAAGCAAATAAGCGGTCATGAGGAGTCTTTTACAAAACAACATTTTGAAAAGATTCGCTTGTGTTTAGAAATGTTCACTGATTTTTATTTCTTTTTTCTTTATATCAACTGTGCATAATTTTCAGGGCATCATGCACAACACCAAGCCTGTTTTCACCGCCCAGTTCCACCCAGAGGCTAAGGGTGGTCCCACTGACACAGAGGTAATTAAAGACTTTGATGGTGCTGCATGAAGTACCTCCATGCTACGCTACAGCTAATTAAAGGTATATTCACAATGTGCGTCTTTGGTACAAGTTCATGTCTTCCGCTCATATAGTGTAAACGCTGGCCTTGAGAAATGGCGGCGCGAAACAGGACGATTAAAAACAGGGAGAGAATTAATGATTCAGAGTTGGAAGAGCAGGATGTCACTTGAGCATCTCGGATCAAAACGAGCTGGTTGAACGCTCCGGACTGCACTGCTGCTGTTACAGGGCGGCGTGGGAGGTCGCTGTCAGCCTGTTAGTAGATGTGAGGAGAGGAACAGTTTCAACGGGAGGGACTCATATACGCTCACACAGGGCTGGAGTGGCTGCCAACACATAAAGCAGGTTACAACACAGAGGGAGTCTGATTTATCCCCTTTATGGACGCCGCTATATCTCCACATAGCAGATAGTTGTTGCTGCTAGTGTTCATAATCTTGGATTTTTAAATACATTCTGTAATGAACAACAGCTGTAGCTTTAAGGTATGCAAATGAGCAAAATACCGTCTTATATATGTATGTCTTATATAAATTCTAAACTAGATTCAAACATAAAAAAGGAACCAGTTTCTACATTGCAAAGGAACAGCAGGTGTCATCCTGACAAAGCACTACAAAGGATGACACCTGTACCAGGGCCGCAGGTGCTTAGGAACGCCGCTAATGGTGCCGGTGCCGCGGCCCGCTATAAAGCCTTAATGGTTCTGTGCCACATTTTTCTCTCACCTGCTCAGTCTGTCCCACATTAAAGGCAAGGACTGTAGTTCAAGTCCTGGTCAGAATATGATGTAACGTCTGTCATTTGGAGGCAGAATAATATCGCCTGCTTCCTCCGTCTCCGTCTCCGTCTCCGTCTCTCTCGCCTTCATGTGTTTGATTTCTGCAAGCATCAGAAAAAGTTCATTGCAGATGGTTTGTTCGTTTTCGGCTGGTTTCAAAGCTTTTATTTCGGATTTGGAGAAAAATCTTGGATAAGATGAGGAGTGAAAGTTTGCTGATCTGTCAACAAACAGTCGGTTGCAATTTGCCATTAAAGACAGTTCATTAGCACACTTACAAGAGCCCAGTCATTTTACCGTAGCCCAGCTCGGGACTCTGAAGGAACCGGTGCCACTAATTAGTTTCTGAGGATATTAGATCTTTTATTACTTTCTAATGTGCGTATACCTCTGGATACAGTCAGTTTCAGGACATTAATGTTGTCACACCAGCGTAAACTCAAACACAGCATTTCCTTTAGTGTCACTGGTTGGCTGGGGGGAAAAAAAAGTTTATTTTATTATACTGTAGTTTTGCTTTGTGTAGCTTTATGAGACCTTTGTGAAGGTTTCAAGTATATGCAAAAATATATATGTGAATAAAAAATCTTGAATAAAAAATTCAATTCAATTCAGATAACTTTATTTATCCCCTAAGGGCAATTCAAAAAGTACAAATAGTACAGCTAGTATATATTTTTTGGTTACTTTGCAGTTTTACATGAATAAGGTGTTTTTTCTGGTTTTCTTGCAGACACAATATTCTTTCTTAAAGATTTAAAGTTTTCCTAAAATCATCACAAACAAGAGATTTTGCAATGAACAAAAAGTGACCCGAGGAATCTTCAAGAAATCTATTCCGAACCCAAAAGCTTGTACCTTCAGGCAGAGTTTGGTCTTCCTCTCGACCGCGAGGGTGTTTTGGCAAGATGAGAAAGTGAAAAAAACTGAACAATAGGCAGGAATCGAACTGAAAACCCTCCCGGTGTTGCTGGTGTACGATTCCAACTGTGGTTACGGTAGCGTTGCTCTCTGTTTCAACAGTTCCTCTTTGATGCCTTCATATCTCTGATCAAGAAAGGAAAGGACGCCAACATCGTGTCAGTCATGCCCCCAAAGCCCAGCATCCCTCCCAGAGCCCAGGTACAGTATGTCACACCTGTTCAGCAGGTTTACTGCAAACATTCTGTACATAGAGGAACTCCTTTGATGGTATAGAAGTTGTCAGAGAATTGGAACGATGCCGGGAACGTGTCAGCGGTGGGATGACTGAGTGACAATAAAAGTCGAGCAGTTTTCCTTCAGGCTCTTCGTATAAATACGTGAGAAGACAATGCTTATGTTTTGTTAAATCACTCTGTTTATTGTCTCTATATTCTTGGTGACGCAGGTATCAAAGGTGCTGGTACTGGGTTCTGGCGGTCTCTCTATCGGTCAGGCTGGAGAGTTTGACTACTCTGGATCTCAGGCCATCAAGGCCATGAAGGTAAAGACGCACCAGTTTACATCAGCCAATCAGTATACGATCACACATCCTGTCCAATCACTTGTACCGACCCAGTTTGTTTGCATTCTGGTTAATGGACTTTTAAATGTGTCTGCTGTGTCCTGCTTACATCAGATAAACTGTAACTGATATCCTGAAGCTTGTCCGATGTCCCACAAACCCTCTTTGTTTTCCAAAAACTATTAAAAACACAACAGAGAAATCAATTATTAAAGCGTCTTCCAGCCGCATGGCTGCACCGAGCGACATTTTTCTTCACAACAATGAACACCAAGTTTGTAGTTTGTGTGAGCGACGATCCCTGACAAGTTAAACAATCTATTATTCATGTCAGCAGGCGCTTCACCCCAACGTCAGTCATTACAGTCATGGAAGGTACAAACTAATTGCAACTTCTAGCTAAAGTGTCTGGTTAAGCTGGTAAAGAAAAGCTCATCCACACACCAGCTAAATGTGCAAAATTAAGTATTTTCAGTGGCAATAAAGTAAATGCCACATATCCCCTGTGTGAAAACAGACCCCAATAACTTTTTTCAGCTAATTAGAAGACCTTTTATACACAAAAAATTGGAATAATTTGGTATGCAAACAGTGCTAAACGCTCTATTCTGTTAATGATGGTTTACATGGACTACATCTAAAGTGAGAGACATCTGTCCATCATCTTACTCGACCTTTCTTCTAACTAAACCCGTATGGACGTGTCATTTTAGGAAGAAAACCTGAAGACGGTGCTCATGAACCCGAACATAGCTTCAGTTCAGACAAACGAAGTGGGCTCCAAGCAGGCCGACTCGGTCTACTTCCTCCCCGTTACGCCGGAGTTTGTGACCGAGGTCATCAAGACGGAGCGTCCTGATGGCGTCCTGCTCTCCATGGGCGGACAGACTGCACTCAACTGTGGTAAGATGTGCACAGTTTGTTCGCTGGATGTGTAGAATTGTATAGAAAACATGATTTATGGGTTCTTTTGTAGTCAAGGAGTGCAAGGTAGCAAATTCCAGTTGTAAAAATCAGACTACTGGATCTCTTCTTTTGTACTTTAACAGTGGAAGCATTTGCATTTCAACTTCTGCATATGAGATTGTGTCTGTATGTTTAACTTTGCATTCGTGTGTTCAGGAGTGGAATTATTCCAGCGTGGCGTCTTGGAGAAATACGGGGTGAAAGTCCTTGGAACCCCAGTGGAGTCCATCATGGCCACAGAGGACAGGCAGCTTTTTGCTGACAAGCTGATGGAGATTAATGAGAAGATCGCCCCCAGTATCGCCGTGGAGTCGGTGAGGATCCAGTCGCAGACAAAGATCCTGGATAGACAGTGTCTATAATACATATTCACCCCCTTGGAAGTTGTCGGCTTTTAGTGTTTTCCAACATTTAATCGTGGTCAATTAGATTCTTTTTTCAACAAATCTAAAATAAGTAATTTCACAAGTATTCACCCCCTTTAAGTCAGTACTGAGCTTGTGTGGACGCTGCAGTTTTAATCCCGTTCTTCTTTGTAAAACTGCTCAAGCTCCGTCAGGTTGCACTTTAATTGTGAGTGAAAAGCTCTCCCCGAGTTCAGCTACAGATTCTCAGTTGGATTCTGGGTTCTCAACGCTCCAGACCGTGTTGTCTTTAAACCAGCTTTAGCTGTGCAACAAACAAATCTCTTAAGTGGGTGATTTAGCGTTGAATCCTTTTATTGGCACTGTAACATGTAACACTCCATCATCAGTTCATTCCCCATGAATATTTATTGTGTTGTCTTTATGTTGTGGTTTCAAGCATATATCAGCAGCTGTAGATGTAATATTTGTGTGTACGTCCTTCAGGTGTCTGATGCCCTGAAAGCAGCGGAGCAGATCGGCTATCCGGTCATGTTACGATCGGCCTACGCCCTCGGAGGTCTGGGCTCCGGCCTGTGTGCCAACAAAGAAAAGCTGCAGGAAACCGCCCACAAGGTCAGAATAAATGGTGCTTGGTAGGGATGGCTGGCATCTGGGTGCAATTATTTATAGTCATTTAAGTCATTCTGTTTTTATTTTTTCCTCTTGGCGTTTGATCAATGTTTCCGAATCATAAATCTGAGTTAATCACAATCATCAGCCTGCCGTCTAAACTTTTCTTATGCTGCGCTTTTATCCATGTTTACAGTATCGACAGGCGCACTGCTAAAACCTTTAAACCTGTTTAGACACATTTCCTTGCTCCTATGGCAAGAAATGAATAGTTTGCAAGTTGCTAAGCAACATTCTTTTGTGCTCATCTCCTTCCCCGCATCCTGTCTACTAGCTCAATTGGTTCTAATTTGTGATCACAGGCTGCAAAATGAACAGTGTAAGCCAGACTGTTTTATATTGATGCATACTTTTTATGCCATATTGTGAGTTCTACTGCTTTCTTTCTTTCTTTCTTTCTTTCTTTCTTTCTTTCTTTCTTTCTTTCTTTCTTTCTTTCTTATGTTGTGTTGTTAGTTTTAACAGAAATACCAAACAAAACCCGAGGAAAGCGTTCCTTCAACCTTGTCTGTCCTCCTCAATTATCAAAAAGACGATTATGTTTATTTCCGTCTATGGCACATGGACCGACTGTCCTTGTAACAGGCTACCAAATTTCATTTAATTCAACAAAGCCTTTCAGCTCCCAGCAAATTAGAAAAAAAACAAGTGTGTTGTCACTTAACCTTGTACAATTTCTGACCACTTGTATACCTTTTCTACATTGTTGGTAAAACAATACAGAGCTTCGTCTTTTTTTTTTTTTTTTAGTACTTAAGTATATGTCTAACCGATGCACAGGGCACCTTTATCATAAATGACCAGGAGAGCAACTTTCTGAGAGACTGAAAATTGAAAAATAGCAGCAAAAAAACAAAATCTTTGTAAACAGACTCAATGCCACACAGAGCACAATCTGTGTGTGATGACAACTAAATATAGCATATATGAGGTTTGCAGTTTGTGTACAGACGGCGACAACGAGCTGTTTGTTGAATCTATATCGACCCAATACTGAGAAAGCTGTAATTCACGGTGGGAGTGTATTTAATGCACTGTATTGTTAAGTGTGTTCACGTTATTTATCTCCTGGTTGTTTTGTAACTATACTGCAAAAATGTTCCTTCCATTTTCAATCCTTTCTAAAGATTTTAAGTGTCAGAGCATCACATTGCTTCGTGCACATGAAATCAAAATTCATGTTAAAACTCAGATTTTAAGCTTTCAAATGAAATCCGTACTTTGCAGACCTATTGTACTGGATTGTGGGTTTTTGTCGCTTTGTGTTTACCGGCTTCGCGTCTAAATTGATAATGTTGTCTGGAAATTGCAGGCTCTGGCCATGAGCAGTCAGATCCTGGTGGAGAAGTCTTTGCTGGGCTGGAAGGAGGTGGAATATGAGGTGGTGAGAGATGTGGCCGATAACTGTGTCACCGTGTGCAACATGGAGAACTTCGACCCGCTGGGTATTCACACAGGTACTAAAAACACACCATGACAGGGTCTGATTTGTTCCTTTATTCCCTGTATTGTATTATCTTATTTGAACGCCTCCATGCCAAAGAGTGTTATGTTTTCTGGTTAAATGTTGTTTTGATATCTTTTGAACACATGAAATGATTTTTTTCAAATCTGCACAAATGTTCACTCGACCTCAAGTAAGAGCTGATTTAGATTTTGTTGGTCAAACCCTCAAAACTCCTGAATGCAGCATTTCCCATCGCAGAGTTTAACAGCATAAAGTCCTGCCTGACAGTTGCCCATAGGTTAGTCTTAATACCCACATCTGGAGCATGTGGAGCCCCACTAATTATTTTTGGTTCGTGATATACCTCATGACAACCTCACAAGTTACTTTGCAATAAT